CAAGTCAAGTCAAGTAGTTTGTTGAAATATCAAGCTACTTGACTTGATGAATCTCTGATTCTGCGTGTAAACAATGGTGTTTATTTTCTTTCAGACGAAAACCATAATTATATGGTATATTATTCTCTACTAGGAAGTTACTTTTGGAATCCCATGAGAACATCGCATGACATCATATGGCTGTCTATTAGTTAGCAGGGAAGAAACAGGTTAACTTGGTGAGTATTACTAATGATAGTTGTAAGCAGTCCCTGAAGTACTAAGAACTTTTTTCAGGTACTAGTAGAGGCTACTATTGATCAATTCCACGGGCAAGTAGATTCTTTGTATCAGATACTAATAATGTGCATGATAGGTTTGTAACTGACTGACTTTTGAACTAAATAAATGAGAAAACCTGCTTGGGATTCTGTTATTAAAGAAACTAAGGTATAAGTACTAGAGTTATGTTTATACTGCAAGATCTGGTAGTATCATTAAAATGGAGTAGTGTGGTAATTTGGATATTATACAGGGTGTATAAATAATATTGATTTAGAAAAGGAAATAAAAATATTGTACTGAATTTTGTAACATGAAAATTGACCTCTTCATCTTACAGTATATATCTAGTTTGAAAACATGATAAATAATATAAAGAACTTACCAACATGAAGATACCAACCAATGCATATTTGTTTTCTTTTCATTTAAGTAATCAATTGGTATCTTCACTATGATGCGTTCACATTGCTCACTCTGTATAATACCCTTTATTCAGTAAAATACACAAGACCATATAATAATTTCATTTACTTCAAGAAACATCTCTGTGAATAGTAATCTCAAAGTTGTGGATAGGCCAAGTCTGAAAACTCCAATATTACCTAAAAGAAAGTAAACTTCATTGATAGAATAAAAAATAAAGAGATTAGTTAGTACTTACCAATAAGAAAGACTTCTGAACGGCGAGTTGTTATGAGGATTCTTCTACCAGTTCAGGGTACCCGGAGATAGGTTGTTGTTCTGAAACAAGAATTAAATAGTTATTATTTATATCTTCTAAAATCCTGAGAAGTGGAAAATTTAGTCAGTGATTACTTTGAGAAACCTTACCTTGTTGATTCCTAAGTACAAGATAGATTCAGTCAAATATTTGTCACTTTTCTTCATCTATTATTGCAGGTTATTTTGTTTTGAGAAAATCTGACACATCAGGGACACGAACCTAATTTCTTCTACTTCTTATTTCATTTGTTTTCAGCCGCTGTCTCTTTCGGACAAACGGACAATGGCCTTGAGTTGTGTTTGTACCATACTTCAGCAGTCAAAGAGTCTAGGGAGTGTACCACCAGTCAGAGAGTCTAGGTTGTTTTCAGCCGTTTGATTTTTATTGGCTAGTATTAATTATTAATTATTTCCCGCACTTATTTTGAATTGGCAGAAATGTCACTTGATTGGCAGCGATGGAGATGACAGTCAAATAACCAATTAGGTACTGTTTTGATAACTCGTGAGTAAACTCGTGATGGTTTTTTCTGATGAGCAGAAACCCATTTTAGTATAAGTTGGCGTTTTTTTTTTCTAATGGACTTGTTTAGCCTGTGAAATCAGGGAATCAGGTTGGCGCAGGAAATCTCTCTTCCGGCTTCTTCCATTTTCCATCATCACGGCGATTGTGAGGAGCATGATGATCGTGCTTGAAAAGATGATTTATTTTCGTTGGAGGTGTGATCGTGCAAAGGCCATCCTGATAGGAGGTGAGTCTCGAGATTATTTGATTAGGTCTTAGTCCATGATTGAATTTAAGTGATATTTTAACCCTGAATCTATTCTCATAGATTTGAGGGCCTTGCACGTGGGGTCCGAATACTTTGGGACTTCTCTACGTTCAATCCAGGCTGACTCTTTGGCTTACTCCCCGGCTTACTCTTCGGCTTACTTCTCGGCTTACTTCCTGGCTTCTTCAGAGGCCAAATCTACCATCAAGCGGACATTCTTAGAGAGGGGCTCTGGTAGGTCCCTTTCATATCTGGATAACGACCACCCGGTGCCTGAACGGATCAGCGGCCCCATTTCATCGGAAAGGACCTACGATTTCGGCGACGAATACCTGGTGCCTGGACTGCCTAGCGATCTTCTGCTCTCTGGGGTGCTTCGACTACAGGCCCCATTCTTCTTGGAGTCATCGACTCCACCCATCGAAGGTTCCAGGGCTCTGCTGTTACCAGTTTTGGGTAACTGAGGCATGGCTGGGTAACTTCATTAGACCCTCTACGAGTGACCACTACTATGGCCACACCACTACTTTAACCATGAAGTAAGAATTTTCCAATTTTTCATATAAAAACCTTGTTGGAACCAGTTTTGATCACCAAAGGCTTCAACAATTATTGAAGAACACATATTGCGCAATATACTCCAGGTTTAGGAGTTCATACCCTTTATTTTTAGATTTTTTGTAAATATTTCCCGAAATTAATTAATAACTTCCTGTGAGCTGCGTTTATAGGCCTATAGCGGAGAGTTTGATAGTGCATACATACATTTGTGTTGAATTTGGATTACTAGCTCCATAACAGTACATGCAGTCACTTCACTAGGATATTGAGAAAATGGTGTATTTTACTGATTATTTTCTATAACATTTATTAAATTACCCATGAGACCACAAGTGTGCTTTTATTATTTCTGATATTTTTCTTTCAGGTTAAAATTCCAATTTCATATTTTTTGTAACAACAAGACTCAACTTTTCTTGGTTTTTCACTCTAAAACAAACTAAGTGGCGCCTAACTAGCCACCTAACAAAATCAAAACTCTAGGCCTTTGCTCACCAGACCCAAGAGTTGCCGGAGCCAGTTATGAGACTTGCTTTGCTTCTTTTTATTTATGAAAATAAATGAAAAGTAGCAAAGTTCGTATCAATTTTTAAATGCTACAAACGATAGATGTGAATAATGTGATTTCATTTGTATTATCTATATAAGATAATCACGAGTTGACGACACTCCAAAATTTAGTTTTGGTGCTATTATTTTTTTCTTATTTTTTTACAATTCTCTTATTTCATTTATATTCATTTACATTTGCCAAATTACTATTATATTATTCACTGAAACATGCTTTGTCAATAAGGTTGATATCTTCGACAATAAAGTATATTTTTGATTGACTGATTGATATTTGACAGACCTTTATAATAGGGTAAAGAGTTGTAACTTAGGTGATTCATAACTTTTTCCATAAGTAGGCGCTTCTGGAGTATTTCCCACTGAGTGTAACTGTTCAACACATGAGGGTAGGAAGGAAACATATACATTGAGTGCAGAAACACTCCACCAGTTCCTGCCAATGAAATTCGCTATTAGATTCGTCAGTAGTGTGCAGTGTTTTTATTATCGGATTGAAAAGTGATTCTCTAAGAGAGAGGCATTCAGAAGACCCAAGAATGACACAAAAAAGCAAAACGAATATGTTAGGCTACAGAGGAATCGAACAAGCAAGCTCATGAGATACCTAGTGAAGTGAGAGAAGTGCATGCGATACGTACAAGTGCATATACAAGTATAAGGAGCGAGTAGACCAGATAAAAATATACAAACACAGCTGTAGTATCCGGATTATGTAACGGTGTCAATAATTCTTACAGTTCCAGTAGATGCACAGATAGAGGTAGAGACTGGCCTGCACGTCCCTAGAATTTCAGCTGCTACAGATGCGGTATGGAGCATCGATTGAAAAAATGCCCTGCATTCGATGAGCTGTGTGCTTTATGTGGTGGTTTCAACCAGTTCCAGAAGATGTGTCGAAATTATCGAAGTATACAATATAGTTCATGACATAAGAGAGGAACATGATAAATTTGATGTGATTGCTGACTGTGATAATAATAAAAACGATTTATTTATTGATATAGTACATGATGATTATTCAATCAATAGAAATAAAAAAGAATAAGAAATAACAATGAGACTGAGAATGTAGAGTTCAAGTGAGATACAGGTTCAATGGCAAATGCTTTGAGTATGAGAACACTCGAAAAAATGAAAATGGACAAAAATGCAGTCAAACAATCTAATATCAATTCTACAAATTAATTAATGAATCTATTCTTGTTCTTGGAGAGTGTCTGTTGAAATGCAGATATAAAATTCATGAGCAATCCCCCAGTTTTGTTTTTGTAGATGTAGATTCTCCTTCAATTTTAGGAAATGAAACATTATACAAATATGATGGCATAAACAGTTCTGAATAAATGTCGAGGAAAATGTTTTTAATGGAAAATCATCAAGATTGTTTCGAAGGCATACGCCGTATTGAAGACGTTTTCCATATCCATACCAGTAGTTCATGCTGCTCAAAAAATCCCATTTTCATTGACAGAAAAATGTTGAAAGTGTAAGTTTTGATTTAGCAAGTTTATTCACAAATGTTTCAATAGATGAAACTTTACAAATAGTGAAACATGAATCAGAAGACGATGAAAATCTCACTGAGAGAACTAATCTAAGTATCGAAGAAACAATGGAATTTTTTGAATCGTGTCTAAAAACTACATATGTTCAATTGGATGATGAGTTCTATCAACAAAACTTTGGAAGGGCCATGGGATCGTCATTACCTTTAATTTTGAGCAATATATCCATGGAGAATTTTGAAGAAACTATCATCAGAAATTACCACGATGGTGATACGTAGATGATATTTTCATAATTTGGCCACATAACCTCATGGAGCTAGATATTTTTCTAGATTATGTGAACAATTCCGAACCTACCATAAGGTTCACTTTGGAAATTGAATCTAACAATCAGTTACCATTTGTAGATGTTCTTATTGAGAAATCAAATAACATCTTTTATGGCTTTCTTTTTGACGGCCGGGGTTACACCAGAGCTACTCCTGGGCGCCAATCTACAAAGTTTACCTGTTCTTTTTACGCACGGCTTTGAGCTCCGGTGCAGCACCGCTTACCTTCCCCTGTCCCCTCTCGCATCTACCGCTAACGTGGTGCAACCATGGTGCAACAAGCACTTTCGGCGGCATTTGAAAATGATTGGTTATGTTATGTTTGTGTTTTGAACTGGAACAATTTCAAAATGGACGAAAAAACTAAAAAACTGCAGTTGAATGATGTTGAAATGGACAAAATATATGAAGTTTATGTCAGCAATGACGATTATGATCGGGCATTGAAAGGTATGGAAAAATACGCTGGGTAATCTGTCTTGTTCCAATGAAATACCTATTACCTTTGCAGATAACCATTTTGCTAATGCATTACTAATGCATGCTAGAGGGACAGCAGAAGACATATCTTCAGATGTTGAGGAAATGGAATCTGAAAATACTCAATGTGCGACTCCATGCAACTCACAGACTCAAGTTAGAACCACAAATATTTGGAGCTTTAATCAAACACAGAGTCTCATCAACTCTATGGCTTCATATTATGCAGATTTTAATGATGTACGAAAAAGGAAACATATATTTGAACATATTGCAAATGATCTGATAAGTGCTGGGTATGCCGTAGATGCAAAACTTGTTCAGAATAAGTGGAAGAGCTTACTGAGGAGCTATACAAAAGCTAAAGACACCAAAACGCGAACTGGCCAGGGACCTTCAAGATTTCTATTTTATGAGTTGATTGATGATATTGTTGGAAATCATCCCAAAAATAAATGTGATCATTCATTAAACACATTGGATCCGCCTATATCAGAAAATGATTCCAGCAATGGGGAAAAAGTACCATTGGAAGATGAAGATGCCAGTGAAAGACAAGGTGAACAGGAGAGAGATTTGGGAGGCACTGAAGAACTGAATACTGGGGAATGCTCTGCACCAAACAAACAAAAATCAGGAGATTCAGTAAGCACTGAAGGAAAGGAAAATGGAGAATGCTCTGCACCAAACAAAAAAATAAGACTAAGTGAAAAACAACTGAAAAAAGAATTTATTAATTCTAAGAAGATAGAATATGCTAAGAGGCAGAAACGCCATGATGAAAAATTGGCAATTGAGACAAAAAGGATGGAGATTGAAGAAAAAAAATTGGCTGTGCTTCAGGAATATCTGAAAAATAAGCAGAATCCTCCAAAAAATGATAAATGTCACAGTTCTTTATATTTTATGAGTCAATGTTTTTTGTTTAGTATTTAGATTTTATGTTGTTCCTATTTCATTAGGTCTGACTGAAAATCCTGTTCAGAGAAATAAATTTCGTTTTGTTTATATATACTTTATTATGTTTCATAACATTGTTTTTTGATTAAAATAATATAAGAGTAAAATATTTATTTGCAAGATACTGAATTCATAAATTGAACATCCTCTTGAAAATCTGTTGTTGCCTATTGTCTCTTTCCCTCAGTCGGTCCTGCAATACTAGATTGTTCCTAAAGGGGATGGTTGGTGGTTGGTTTTCATCATTCTCTTCAATATCTTCAATAGCATTAATCCTGTCATTTTGGCAAATATTATGGAGTATACAAGATCCTAAAATTATCTCTGAGCATAACCTGAAGTCAAAATTCTCAAGACCTTTGAGTCTTCTGAAACGCCCTTTGAGTAGCCCAAAAGCATTCTCCACAACTACTCTTTTAGATGATAGCCTCTTATTAAATAGTTTCTGTTCCTCACTTAAAAATCCTGTATCAGAGAATGGTGTAATAATCCAATCCAAATTGGGGTATGCTGAGTCACCTAGTAGGAAAAAGTCCCTCATGAAACCAGGATTTTCCATATTTCTAGCATAAAGTGCTGATCTTCTCAACAACCTGGCATCATGCAAAGACCCTGGTTCACCACAAAATATATCAATAAATCTTTTATTGTGATCTACGACTCCTTGTAACAGTAGGCTGTGGTATCCTTTTCTATTTATGTATGAATCCTGATTCTCCTTTGGCTTCTGGACTTCTATATGGCTTCCATCAATAGCAGCAATTGCACCAGGGATTCCATTATTTTTTGAGAAAGCCTCAGCATTATGTATCATTTGTTCCTGATTAGGCCAACAAATATACTGATTTTTCACTGACATCAGGAATTTTAGAACACGTTTCAAACAATGATGGGCAGTGCTGAGAGAGACTCCAAATCTGTCTGACACTTCCCTAAATGAATTCCTGTTTGCTAAGTACCACAAAGTCACGAGAACAGCTTTTTCACTAGATACATTGGGTCGTCCTGGATTAAAATTTGATTACTCGAAGAGACCTCAAATTGAAAAAAACATAAATATACAGTTGACCTCTAACAAAGAGAGTATCCATACCAATAAGTTCTGAAGTTGTATTTTTTGATATGCGAAAGTGGGACATGAACATCTTGTTATCATATCCCTTGACAGTTATTTCCACATAATTTTCAATCCTGGAATGTTTTCTTCTGGGTTCATCATCATTATCAGAAAAATTCATGAGAATACTGTCTGAAGCTGAAGAACTGGTTGATTCTGACATGCTGGAATGATTGCTTGGTCCAAATAATTCCTGAAGGATACAATCAATAATCGATTCAATATAATGTTCACTCAACTTTTTTTTTGCTCAATTAACTCACCATCAATAACACTTCGGTTTCAGAATCAGACATTCTCAAGAATAATTTAAATAATCTGTTTATATCGATAAGGAATTAAGGATTATAAATTATAAGGAACAATAAGCACTTGACATCAAAGCTTCAAACAAAAATTCAATCAAAACAACATGAAGGCGCATTCGCTACACATCAGTTGCGTTTTTTTGGTGCTTCCTACGGAAGCAACTGAATGACAAGTGACAGCATAACTAAGCAATAACAAAAAAACGCATAGAAGAATGGTTGAAGGTTTATAACCTATATTGCCAATATCAAATTTTTGAGTTTGGATTTATAGGATTATTTTTATAATATTATTGAATTTATTGAGATGAATTTTATTCCTGGTTTGTTGCTGACATCGATAGTTAGAAGCAGAAATAATTTGAATTTATTACTAACAACAGAGGAGTTTGACATAAACATTTTGGAGAGAATTGTGTGTCTGTAAGTTTGATCCTTGTGATTTGAAAATTTTATTTGATAATCAACTTCAACTAATAAGCCAACGTGCACATAAGTGACACTTTGTTTCACAAACGAATTTTGCGTTCCCAAAGTGAAGCATTATAAGCACTTATGCTATTACTATTATGTAATCCATTTTATTTTGTTTCAGTCTGGAAAGCGAAAAAATACCAAAATGTGAGAATTTTTATGAAGTTGTTATACCATCATACCGGTTCTCCACATTCAAAAGCCATTTTAGAATGACATCAGGAGCTTTTGAATTCATTTTGAATCAGGTTGCCCATGATGATTTTTTCAGGAAACGTTCTGAAGAATATGGAGGAAGGACACAACAGAATCCTGAAAAATCATTACTTATTGCAATTTGGACACTGGCAACACCTGAGAGCTACCGTTCAATAGGTGACAGATTTAATGTTACCAAATCAACAGTTTTTTATTGCCTACATGGAATTGTTAAAGTCATATTGAACAACTTGTGTAAAGTTTATATAAGATGGCCTAGACTTGAGGAACGACCTTCCATAGCTGATGGTTTTAATAAGTATGGGTTCACAAGCATTGTGGGAGTTATTGATGGCTGCCATATACCAATCAAACGTCCTAACCTTCATCCTATGGACTATTTTAATAGAAAGAAATTCTATTCAGTTGTGCTGCAAGGTGTGTGCAAGTATAATTTAACATTCACTGATGTAGATGTTCGTTGGCCAGGTGGAGTACATGATGCTCGTGTGCTCAGAACATCAGATATGTTCCAGTTGGGGCCTATATTGTGTCAGCCAAATTATTTTCTACTAGGTGATGCTGCATACCCTTTATTATGGTGGTTGATGACACCATTCAAAAATAATGGTCACCTTACTCCTGCTCAAAGACACTACAATAAAACACTATCAAAAACTCGTGTGAGAATTGAACATTCCTTTGGGTTATTGAAAGGTCGTTTCAGACGACTAAAAGATATGTTGGACATGAATGATGAACAAAATATTATGAATACCATTGTGGCTTCTTGTGTACTCCATAATATTTGTATTGTCTTAGGAGATGATAATGATATTGAAGCTTATATTCATGAAGGCTTAGAAGATATAGCTTTATTAAACATAGAGAATGCTCCAAATAATGATCCCAGAGGGGCTATATTACGTGATAATTTAGTCCAGGAACTGTGGGAGGCAAGAAGATGAGGTCAATCAGAATATTATCACCACATTGATGAATATTCCTAGTTTATTTTATTATTTTTTTTTTAATAAAATTTTTTCATACTCAATATTGTTTTTTTTTACCACCAAAAAGATTTTCAGAAAAATTAGTTTCACTATACCAGATTGAATAGCAGTGTCCTTAGGTTTCTAAAAATGTTTATATTTAATTCTCTTATAATACATGAACTTCTTAAGGAATATTTCAATATTTATTCATTAAATATGTTGAACATCAAGTTATCACTCATACAGAGTAAAAAGTAACCAAAGAATGAATTCCTATTCATAAATATAAATGTAACAATGTTATAGGTATTCCCTATAAAATAAACAACTTCCATTGAAAATTTTCAAAACAAATAGCTCATGATGAATTCTGAACATGATAAACTTCAAATAAAATAAAATAACTGAAAAGTACTTCAATAATGGCAATAGAATCATTCTTAAAGGAACCTGAATTATTTGCTGTCCAGACTTTCATCTTTTCTTATCAGATTCAGCACATCTGCCATGAATTTTTTATTTTCTGCATGCTGCTCTCTAGCCAATGCAATTCTTCTTTCTTCTCTTTCTGAAACCTCCTTCTTGTATTCTTGTAGCCACTTCACCATCTCAACTCTAGGTGAAATTCTTTTACAAATTCTCTTGACTTTTCGTGTGCAGTCAGTAGATATTTTTTTACCACTATTCTCAGTAGTCTCAGCAGTGAAGGTCTCATTGGTACGAGTCTGTGAAGAAGCTGGCACAGCATCATCTGCCAACCTTATGCTTGAACAAACTGCTCTGGGAGTGATTCCAGGCCTATCACCAAAATATTCAGCCATAGAGTCGAAAAATATCCAGTCCTTATGACTATTTCCTGACTGAGAGTTGTGATCCCTTATTTGTTTGTATTTTGCAGTGAGTGTCTTGAGTCTATTAGCACACTGATCTGCAGTGAAATAGTGGCCCTTATTCTGTAACTCTATGGCAATGTCTTTGTAAACTTCTGTCTTTTTATATTTGACATTGGTTAATCTTTCTTTGTTTTCAGAACATAGATCTAGAAACATCAATGTCTGATTGTCACTCCAAGTGTTTGGTTTCATCAATGAAGTTGTTTTGTTTGTTTCTGGCAATATCTCAGAATTATTGTTTTGTATAGTACCAAAATGATTGGACTTGCTTGTTCCAGGTTGTATGTGAGGTTGCATCATAGCCAAATGGGTTTGGATTGTTTCTGGCAATATCTCCGGATTGTTCTGTTTTGATTGGCCCATTCCAGAACAATATAAGTTTGATTTCATCACAGTAACATTTGTTTGACGTGATCCAGGGGAAGTAGTTTTCTCCAGAGATTTTCCTTGGAACCCATTCCCACCATCATATATTTCCACCACTTCATAGGAATTAGCTTGAAATAAAAATTACCATATTATAACAACATGCATGCACATACATGATTTACATACTTTCTGGATTCAACCACATATATTCTCCATTTTCAGTCTCAATCAGTGACTCCATAATTTTTTCACTAACAACTAAACAGACCTTGATGGGAATAACCTCATTCGTCTGAGGGAATAACGGACAACGTAACCTCAATCCTCAATCCTCATAGATCTCAAAAACCATGAAATGACTGACACTGACACTAGTGACATTCCTCCACCACTCCTCACTCTTCTCTACCAAGCATTCCACCTCGAGAGATGGAAGGAACGGTAGCAATCGGAGTTGGAATGACAGTTCAATAAAACGGCTGGAATAATAATTCAGGAAGCAGAAGCGCACCAAAAAAACGCAACTATCATTAATAAAATGTTCCCTAAAAGCCGTTCTATTTGAGAGCAGCACCGGAGCTTCAAGCCTGGTACAGTTCGTGTGCTTGGCAGAACAAAAAGAAAGGGCTTTTTGTAACAAGTGTACAGGGTGGCTGGAATTCGAGCCTCATCATTGGGATCTCGTGAACCGTGAGAGATAATGGGTCGGTTGAATTATGGCAAAGTTGCGCAATTTTTTCTGGCGTTATTTGGAGAAATTGATCAATATGAATAACACTTTATCAGGGCCACTTTTTCTTCCCTACATTATGGCGTTTTCAAATTTTAAATCTGACGTTTCGTCTTCCAGAAACCATCATCAACTTACTTTTTTTAAATACGGACCTGGATTTTTTATTTCATTTTTTGTTACCTTCGGATAGCCCAAAAACTATGAGCAATCACAAATTTCGATTTTCAAATGTTTCAATGACTAAAATTCACAGTTTCTTTATTTTTTCCAAATATTCAATGCAATTACCGAAAATGGAAAAGGCGGCTATGCTTTTAGAGATGAAAAGTTACAACCACTCGTCAAAGTTTGACAGTTCAAGGTTTTGAATAATTTGCGCGATCAAAAATGGTGTTTTCCAATTCAGAAAAACGTGATATGGTCCGAATTTATTATAGTGCTAATAGAAACTCGCAAATTCCATGTGAGAGATATTTACAGCAATACCCCGAACGACCACAACGGCATTATACGTATTTCAATAATTTGGACAAGAATTTGAATCTGTATGGTAGTTTTAGTAAGCCCCGAAATGCGTATGGCGGAAGATTTGGAGCTGAAGATGAACGAGCTGTTATAAATGCGGTAAGTTTCGGAAAGAAATAATTTATATTTGCGATAAATTTGATCGAGAAATTTTGAAGTTTACGGCAAATCCCCGAGGTTCCACACGACAATTTGCACTAGAATTGGATATAACTAGAAGCCGAATTCAGAAGATTCTCAAAAATCATAGGTATCATCCTTATAAATTACATGTCAGCCAAGAACTAAGACCAGGAGATAATGACAGAAGGCTATAATTCTGCAATTGGCTTGATAGAAAATTGCAACAGAAAGAAGATTTTTTAAATAACGTTATCTAGACTGATGAACAGAAATAATAAGCATTATTATGAAGTGGAAAATCCGCACCAAAATCAGCAAGTGCAAAGGCAGGAACGGGCACTATTCAATGTCTGGGTGGGGCTGTATCGAAACAAAATCTTGGGGCCAATTATTTATGATGGGAATTCAAAAAGTGATCGGTACCTTCATTCTATCCATTTCTTCGAGCACGTGTCTAGAAAACTTCTCGAATAGAGACCTCCATCCTGAATACGATTGAAAATTGTACAACGATATTGAAAAGATAGTTTGAAATCTTACCATCACGCCGATACATAATTTTACTAGATATAGCTAGGTGCCTATGCAAAATTATCAGGATCTCCGAAGAGCCTGACAAGCCAACACGTGAAACAGCCAGCAGCAAAATGCCCAAAAATGACCTCTCCGGAAAAGAGAACTTGACCCCATCGTCAACATCAAGAAACATTAAAAGTTTGAATTGGAACTGTCAACGAATGAGCAAATGAAATGTCTCGTAGCAGTATTTCTAATTGCACCTGTACATTGAGGCTGCTGGTGATGTGACCTTGAACCATACGACTCTGCTCCGCCTCGAGCAAGATACTCCTGAACTATAATTGTACAATGCTCAAGGCTGGAGATATCAGTGAGCTATCATCTAAAAGAGGTTTATCGGGACAGACCTCTAAGCATGAGCACAGCCAAGTTGCACTAGCACCTAGGGTCCATGATATCAAATTACTTGTGACGCAGGGGTTTGTCTCTAGAGACTCCCTCACAAAGGTGCTGGGATATCACTGCTCTCATTTTTATCAACCTACCGGTGAGGTTGATCTGGAGGGTCCCTTGGTGTTGAGAGCCTGCATAGGAATCTTGGCTCATTTTGGTTCTCCTAAAGGGATTTTAAGAGACCCAGATTTGCTGAAGGGGTTGAAAGATGCTGGGCTACAGTTAATTGAAGACCGCACTGATAATATCATCGATCCGAATTTCTTGCAAGGACACCACTTCAAAAGCTTTAAGAAGAAAATCGGTGAGCATGGGTGGTATCGGTTACTTGATTATCCAGAAGGAAGTGATCCTCTTGACAATGGTGAAAACCGTGATACCCTTAAACTACAAGGGTTGGTTTAAAAACCGCCTTAGGACTTTTGGTGGAACCATAGAAGACCAATCTTGGGTTGACTTTTACGAGGACAAATATCCAACTCTGTACACTTTATCTACGTTACAATCCATGATGTCAGCAAATTTCACTTTGAGACGATCATATTATTCGATTCTGAGAGGGATAGCAGTTTCTGGTGAAACTTTTATCAATGAAGTAGCGAAGGAGATCATTAACCTAATGAGAGAAGCAGAGATGCATCACTTCGTCCTGATAGACAAGTATCTGTTTAACCAGTATAGGGAACTTTCATCAACAAAACCTCTATCAGGATTAGTGAAGGTCCACAAAAAGGTACTCAGGAAATTAGGCTCTTATCCTGAGCCTGATGTGATGTATCTGCAAATACTTCACAACAAGGATGATCTTGCGGAATTGAATAGAGCAAACTTTAAGACGGCCAGCATAATTGCAACTGCATGTGCTCGATATGAGCATACCAGCTTCAATGCGTATTATTCTGACGAGTCTCCACGAGCAAAGGAACTGTCGGAAAGAGTCATGGAATACTTAGAACTGAAAAATGACCTGATTAATATAGCCGCGGGCGAGAGTGACTTCATCAACATGGGAGAGAAAGAACGTGAGCTATTCTTGAGAGAAGCATTAGTGGCTTTTGATAAATACAGAGATAATGAAGAGGAAGAATCTATAGCTGCCTCCCAATGCTCTGAGATCTGTGCCCTAGTGATTGAGAAAAAAAATGTCTCGTAGCAGTATTTCTAATTGCACCTGTACATACGACTCTGCTCCGCCTCGAGCTAGATACTCACGAACATAACACCCAAAAGTTCTCGTGCTGATTGGAAATTGATGTCATAGCGAATGAAGAATAAGAATGTATCGGAGCAAGAAAAGAGTGACAGTGGCTAATGAAGAAGAATTGGTAAACCATAACCAAGACGTAAACATTGGATGATTTTATTTCCAAAAAAAACGAACATAATTGGATCACTTAAAAATACCCAGGCCCATTCGATTCAACAATATGTACAATTTATTTACAATAGAGGTAGGTGCAAGCAGTTTTCGAATCAAACCCATATTTGATTTTTATAATATGGTTGAATGCCATTCTGATGGTTACCTTGTTTATTTTCAGTGCCTGCATAATTGAAATCGAGTGGACTATAGAAAACAGTGTGTATTCGAAGAAGACAACACTGTGTATTCAAACGAGAAAGGTAAGGTTTATTCAAGTACCTAGAATTTATTAAATTATGTTTGTGTTTGTTTTCTAGCTATATTATATTACTGACTAATTCATTCCTTCTTTTTGTTTCAGTTTACTACCTGTGAGCGTTCTGTTGGATACAAGATGAGAAGTGATATATACAGGGCGCTTTAATATTAAATGTTAAATTCTGAACTATGTCAACTGAATTTATCAATAAAGGTTTATAAATTCGACAGTGTATATCTACAGAGTTTCTCTAGTGTTTTGGTAGAAAATACCATGAAAAAGGAAACGTTTGATATCACTTGATTTAATGATGTAGGCACTGAAAATAAACAAGGTAACCATTAGAATGTCATTCAACGATATTATAAAGATCATATATAGGTTTTATTAGAAAACTGCTTGCACCTCTCTATTGTAAATAAATTGTACATATTGTAGAATCGAAGGGGCCTGGATATTTTTAAGTGATCCAATTATTTTCGTTTTGTTCTGAAATGAAATCATCCAATGTTTACGTCTTGGTTATGGTTTACCAATTCTTCTTTATTAGTCACTGTCACTCTCTTCTTGCTTCGAAACATTCTTATTCTTAGACCTTTCGAGTCTACTATTATATTCGTGAGTATCTAGCTCGAGGCGGAGCAGAGTCGTATGGTTCAAGGTCACATCACCAGCAGCCTCAGTGTACAGGTGCAATCAGAAATACTGCCATGAGACACTTCATTTGTTCATTCGTTGACAGTTCCGTTCATTGGTTCCAATTTAAACTTTTAATGTTCCGTGATGTTGACGATTTTTGACAAGTTCAATGTCTGGTTCAAGTTCAATGTCAGGGTCAAGTTCTCTTTTCCGGAGAGATCATTTTTGGGCCATTTTGCTGCTGGCTGTTTCACGTGTTGGCTCGTCAGGCTCCTGGGAGATCCTGAAATTTTGCATAGGCACCTATTAATATCGTTATACAATTTTTGAATCGTATTCAGGATGGAAGTCTTCATCCGAGAATTGCTCGAGACACGTGCTTGAGGAGGCACTTCTTCGCCATGGACACTGCTGCTCGACCGGTCATTCTGGAAGTCATTCCATATTCATTTTTGATTTGGTAAAACCCTCTATACCCCATGGGTGAGTTATTTCATTTTATTCACGACCAGAGTTAGCTCTCATTTTTTTTGAGACCAGGTTCTGATACCTACCTAATCAATTTTAGGGTTCTACATATGGGCTTAATCCTTATCCCGTCCTGCTTCGATTAGGCTGATATAGCTTTGCAAGGGCCATCCCAATTTTCCATGTGGTGGGCTGACCACAGATCACCACCTTCGCAGTTTTGCACTCTCCAACTTCACCGTTTTACTGTCTCCAATATTCACAGTTTTGCAGTCTCCTAGTCTACTAGTCTACAAGTTCCTACCAGTCTACTAGCTACTTCAGCTTTCTACCACAACGTCATCATTGGATAATATCAGGTTTTTTTAGTTATAAGTTTCATTTAAGTCAAAATAAATCAAGGTACAGAGATATACTCATACCTACTACTCAGATTTCAAAAGTGCACTTCAAAAGTTCAAGCCCTATTTGAAACTTTCAATATCCTAAATACTAGCTTACAACAGGCAGTTTCACAGTATCACATTTCCCCATAAAATTCATGAATTTTTAGGACATTTCCTTGAAGTTTACAAATATTCAATAACAACTAATACCGTAAACCGGGGTAACTTTGGTTAGATTTTTCATGTTTTTCTTGAATAAAACTTGATCTTGCAAAAATAACTGGGTTTTAAGCACTGAATATCAATGTACCAACATTCCCAAGTATGAATTGGGTCGGAAACATAATTTATTCATATCGTACTTTGATATATTTGGCCTTGAAAGTGTCACAATCTTACCCCGTCAGTTGGGGTAACTTTGGTACACTGGCTTTTCAGACGAATATTTCGAAGTTATGTGCTTGTGTTCCAAAGATAGACATTGCAAATCGAATAAGAATGAAATATAGCAAGCATAAAATATATTTTCGCATTTTTTTATATGTATTAGGGAAAAAACCATTCCAAATTTCTCAAGAAGCTTTAATCGCTAGATAGTGATGAAAAAAGATGATATTATTCGTTTTGAAATGCAGAAAACAAATGCATATGAGAAGGCCTAATTTTGAACCACATCTTTCAATTTTGGAACATCGAAAACTTCTCGATGGCCACGACGTTCAGGTGTTTTTATAGGCATTATAATCTCTTTATTGCTATAAAATATCTCGTCTTTGTGAGTTGGCCATTTCCATTGCTTTCCATAGGGTGTCATAACATTCACAATTGCTCCAAGATTATGAATTTCCGTGATCTGTCCGGGATAATATTTCTCATCATAAGTAACCAAAACGTAATTTCCAATTTTTCTTGTATTCATGGAAGATGCAGGTTCCATGACTGGTTCTACACTAACATCATCATCGGACAGTTCGGGGTTGTGAGGGCTATCGTCACTTTCAGCATATTTGACGCTCTGAATGCTATCATCTGAGCTCTCTGAATCATTTCTTGTTCTTTTGGATTTCTGATTTTTCCTTTCGATCACAGGTAAGCTGTCATCAGAATCTGAAACGCCAAGATGCTCATTTGAGCTCCTCCTGTTCTGAATTCCAGAAGTGGAGGGCTCTGACGAATCTATGAGAGGCTCGGTGGAAGATGCATTCTGTAGATCGGCAACCGTTATCCCTTTACCAGGAGGCACTTGGAGTTTCTTTCTCCTACGAATACGAGGTGCAGTGGTTTCATGACTGGTTTGGGCAAGATGTCTCAGAAAGCTTTCGCCTACAACTTTTTGTATTGCAGGATCCTCAGCAACCACATTTCCGTGCAATCTATTCAAAACGATTTTCTTATTGGAAGGGTAGATTCCGAATTTCCTGAATCCAGATTTGAGATTCTCAGCACCAAGCTCGTCCAATTTTGACATCAGAGTTTTCAAAAGCTTTGGAAAACTATCCTTTGGTATTCCGCTAAATCGACATCCTTCAGCCGTGTTCTTCCAGTCATTTAGTATTTGTCTCCATTGTCCCTTCATGGGACGGAAGTATGCTACATCCAGCGGCTGCAGGAGATGCGTAGTATTAGGAGGCAGTGCAATGAATCTCATATTATTTAATTCGCACTGTCTGATCACCTCCACGTTAAGGTGAGAACTAAGGTTGTCCCCAATTGAAATTTTACGCCCCTCTTTTCTCCAGATTAATAAACCAATCCTCAAATACTTGAAAGTCAAACCACCCGCTACTGATTTGGTTATAACGGGCATTCGATGGACCATCTTCCGTCCAGGTTGACCATAGCCTTTGAGCTTTGTAATTGACGTATACCGGATCAAGCTGACCCTCGACATTTCTGCAAATCATAAGAAATGTATATGCTTTAGACCAATTATTTCGCGGGTTGGCCTGCGAGGAATTATTACTCCTGAAAGAGAAAAACAACGGTTGCAGAAAACTTGGACTTTGGAAAACGTGCAACTTTGGTACATAACGTTCTATAAATTAGATTCAACAACAGACGTCTGCTGTCTAACTTTGGTACATGTACCAAAATTACCTCCACATGTTACAATTTTTTATGTAAACAAAGATGATATTTTTTTAGTGTTGATAATTTGTTTTGCTATGTTGTCGAAACATAGCCAAAACATAAATAAATAAGATGAACTCACCAGAAATAATGTGGATTCAATTGTTTCGGCTGCACAATACCTAGTTTGCAGATCTTCAAAAAACGTGTGTCGTGACCCGTTTCATTCAAATATGCACTGTTTCTGACAGAACGAATGCAATGTTGCCAAACTCATTCTTTTTACCTATCATCTTCTTATGAACAAGACTGAATACCAAAAGTTGCCATATTCACTGCTCAAATATTTTTTGAATGTGACAGTATTATAAAAATACCAGATGTCCCAAAGAAATACCCAGATCACAAAGTTACCCCGGTTTACGGTATTCAAAGTGGGTTTCTCTCTAGAATTTTAACAAAACTGTCAATGAAGTAGTTTCATCAGTTTGATAGGGTACCAATATCATCTTGAAACATGATATGAGTGTGATATAAATAATTTCTACCTCTGTATTTAACATTTGTGAATAATCTAATGACTGATTTTTTCATTAAATTGTATAAATAACTACTCCACAGATTTTCTACTTTCTACTGACATCTCTCTCTCAACCCATATATTTCAGGTTTCTGTTTCTTCCTAGATGAACAACTATCTGAAAGAACCAGTGGCGTCCATTAAAATATAAATTTGACATTTTTTTATATTAAATTGATAATTTTGGAACTTTTCTGTAAATTCAACTTTGTGATCTATCAGGATAGCAAATTCAAAAATCCACGCCCATATTTCGC